GGAAGGGGCGGCGGAGGTCTAAATTCCGGGTAAGGGGCGGCGGAGGTCTAAATTCCGGGTAAGGGGTGCGGGAGGTCTAAATTGTGGGAAGGGGTGGGAGACGTATAAATTCTGGGGAAAGGCTGGGGGAGGTCTACATTGCGGGGGAGGGGTGATAAGCGAGGCCTATTCAATCCCCTGACAGCGTGAGCCAGTATCGCGCAATTCGCGTTGATTTTCTACTAATATAAGAACGTTGACACTTTCCCTGCAGCAGCGCAAAGTCGAGGAGCAAACAACCCGCCCGAAGCTATACTGGCAGTCTTACACCGGTAATGAATGAATGCTGGAGAAAAAAATGCTGCTGCCGAGATCAGAAAGCGCTTTTCACCGTCGATTCGCTTCTAATCCTTTGCGCAAACGACCAGCCGACGAGCGGGAACTAATGGCAGCGATCGCGGCGCCACCTATCGCGCCGAAGTGAAAATTTCAACTTCGATCCGCGTTTGAACGTTGTGTAAGTTACCACATTTAGCTACGCTTTGTAACGCGTTGTACAAACTTACGGTTGTAAGTTTGTGCGTACAGCAGAGCACGAGGGCGGGGGAGGGGGGCTGATGTCAGCAGAATACTGTATACGCTGTATATTTCATAATTCATAATTCATGATTCAATATTCACAATTCATACCGAATAATACCGAATAATTCATAATTCACCGACCGCGAAATTAACCACTCGCGAAATTGTCCGTCAAGTCTGAATTGGCGAAAAATATGGCGTATACATTAATCTAGGCTGTGTTTTCTGGTGCGGCTGTGGCTTGCGGGGAAACGGTATATGCCGTTAACTTAAACTAAAGGCAGGCGACAGTTTGATCGTTAGCAGAGCTAACGACGTGTGTGACACAGCTCCCTACCGCCGCCCGCGGGACCACCTACCGACCACAGTGCTGCCATGCGCACGCACGCACACGCACACGCACGCACACACGCACGCACGCACGCACGCACGCACCCTCGCACATAGTAGGAGGTCGCGGATCTCCCGCGGCGGCTGTAGCAGAAGACGTCCTCACGTGGAGCGTGACACGTCCGTCCATACAGGTTACCATTCTTTTCACTACCGCCATGACCTATGTCGACTTGTGGGTCAGTCCGCCATAGAAATCACGAACTATAAATCTATATAACACATATAACACCCAGTCACCGCCCTCGCGCGCGGTCCTCTCTCTCTCTCTCTCTCTCTCTCTCTCTCTCTCTCTCTCTCTCTCTCTCTC